AAATGGTAGTGCTCAAAATTGATAAACCACCCCGAGATGGACAAATTGAAGATAAGGATAAGACCTAGGTGATATAGGTATATAGAGATAAGCATTGGCAACATCCATTTTGGTCATCCATAAACCCAGAGAGAATGCCCACCTCAGGATGAGAAAAGCCTTCATGGTAAACCGAAGCAGGAGAATGAAGTGGTTGATGCGAGATAAATCCCTGGTTGTAATGGGAACAACAAAAATACAGGAATAAAAACCTGTTGAAGTATGGAGAACAGGTTTGATAGCCTGCTGAGATAACAATTCCACAACTGCTTCCAACAGATGCTGACTGGTCACAGGATCCAGAGGAGGAGAAAATGAAACAGGGAAAGGAGACATGGGAAGTGGGGAAAGGAAGGAGATAACTAATCTTTCTGATAAAACCCGAAGAACCCATTGTTCCTTGACAAAGGAATGCCAGTGATGAAGAAAAAATTGGCAAGCTAACCTCCCACCAGACCAGAATCCACTGGATAGTCACCAGTACTGTTGGCAACGTGAGATGCGTCATCTAAGAAAACGAGAAGAGGCACCCCATGAAGAAGAGACAGGTAAAGATTGGGAAGTGGAAGGACAGGAAATGGTAATAGGTGACATTTGGGGCTCTGACTGAAACAAATGTGTGATAATATTGGTAAGGGTGGATTGTTGTTGGATGGATGCCACTCATGGGTCTAGCATTTCCAGGATCATGTCATAAATGTATCGCCACAGAAATGGGGCCATATGTAAATCTTGAAGATGAGTCAATGGTAAACGGACCCAAGCCAAAACTGTATCATGACCTAGAAGGTCCCAACAACAGAGAAACCACATATTCAAAGCCAGAGCCAAAGACAAAAAACAATGTGTGGAGGAAAGAAGGGAAAAGATATCCCCAAAAAACCTCTCAGGATTTCATTGGGGAGCCTCAGAGAGGAGATGTAGAAAAGAAAGATACTGTAAAAGAGATGTAAGGGTAAAACGCATGTAAGAAAACTGGGTATGGGTCTAACTGACAGGTGAATTGGGAGCCACACCCCAAACAGGCAATATGGAGCCTAACAACTGTTGGTCAAAAAGGGACAGTCAGCACAATTATATGAAAGCATGAACGGCTCTGAAGCCATTCATGCGAGGCATTGGCATACCCCATCATTTAATTGCAAGGCAAATTGATCAGCATGAACCTGAATATCAGGTCAGGGAGGAAAAACCAAAAAGGTGTAGTAAGGAAGGATGTGGCTGATAAGAAATAGGATAAAAGGATAAAACATCACATACCTGAGAAACAAAATCCAAAAAGACCGAGTTAGGCATAACTGATTCCTCGGGTAGGGTAAAATCTGGAGGCAGAAATACACAATACAAGTCCTCGTCAGTCTGAAGAGATTCTGCCTGTTTTAGAGGAACCAGGGTGAGGTCTGGATACAAAGGCTGGGTCATGTAACAGTCGATCTCCTGGCAGATAAATCCATCATCAGATCACCTGCATCTGAGGCCTGAGAAAGGATGCTAGTCACTTGTGTGACTCCCAAAGTGGTAACATGAAATTTTTAATTTATTGTGAAGAGTCCACCAAATAGAAAATAATGTAACTGGAACTAACTGATAAATGTTTTTAAAGTGATGAAACTGTCTGAATGAAAACTCAATAAATTAAAGAAAACCACTTCATGAGGAAACTAAAGTCAAACATGAATCAGTAAACAAACAAGAAGCACATCCGAATACAAGCACTGCCAAATGAGAAGTGATAGTTTGGTAGATGAGTATAGAGGGTGTCACATGCATCACGTGAGCATGTTCTTATTGGCTGAGAATTGCCGCATGATGATTTGCCTGAGATGCATGTTGGAATATTATAATTCCAATAGGGAGAGCAGAAGGCTTGTGGCATACATAAAAAAAAAGTTTGCATATAGAGCACAGCACCAAATGGGAATAGCTAATTTTCTGAGAGGAGGTAAATACGATATCAGAATAAATTTATGTTTTATGCTTGTTTTACATGTCTTCCTGTCCATTATATTTCCTATTTTGCTAATATCATATCCCTCACCTCTGTCTAGCCCTAGTTTAAATCTACCACTACAGCTGAGTTAATAGCCCTTGCCTTGTTTAAGTATAAGTCATCCATTCCAAAAAGATGAACTTTCCCATTACAATTATCTCACAAATCCAACCAGCCTATTTGCTCATCCCTACATATTAATCTAAGCCTAGCATTCAATCCTAGTGACCTACTTAGTATCTCATCCCCACAATTTATTCTTAGCAATTAAACTATGACCCCTTTTTATTAAATACCCTTATCAGTGTTTTACATTTATCAACAAGCTCCTCAGATCCATTTTCCTTACATCATTAGCCCCAACATGTACTACGAAAACTCATTGCTACTAGTACCCTTAACTATCTCTCTGGTTTAACCAACATTAGTGGCTATAGAGTTACATTGAACTGACATTAGAGTGAGCAAAAATAGGCATAAGCATGAGTAAAAATCGATTTGATTTCTGATTTCAATAAATTACAAACACTTTTATATATCATTAGAGTGAGTAGAAACAGGTTTAACTGACATTATCATAAATAGGTTTATCTGACATTAAACAGTGCAAATCGTTTTAAGTATCATCAATGAGTAAAAAATAACTTAGGAAGTACAAATATATCAATTTAACTGACATAATAACATTAGTAATTAAAATAAGTTTAAGTTGTATCAATAAAAACAAATATATTTAACTTGCATTATAACCAAAATACATAATAAATACAATAATAAATAACTGTAAGTACATGTCTAACTTACATTCTTCTTGCATTAATAAAAACAAGTAAATTCAAATAGTTTTAACTATCATAAGTGAGAACAAAAAGGACCAGTTTGCTAACCCACTACAAAATAAAATCTTGAACCACCTCTAACAGATGCTGGCATGCTATAGGATCTTGAGGAATAGGAAAGGAAACGGGGCAAGGAGAAATAGGAGGAGGTGAAAAACTAGATAACGAAACCTTCTGACAGAACCCGTATCACCCAGTGATCATCGATGAAGGGATGCCAGCAAGGAAGAAACTCTAACAGTCAAGCTCCCACCAGCCCCAAACCGACAGGGTAGCCACCGGTACTAGTATTGACGAATGTTACGTCATCGAAGAAATCGACAAAGAGAAGTACCCCAATTAGAAGGAACAGGTAAGTGTTGAGAGGATGAAGGACTGGAATAGGTGGCATATGAGGCTCTGACTGAGACAAATGGGCAAAAAAGGTCGTAAGGGTGGACTGTTGATGGACTGATGTAACCTGAGGCTAGATGGTTTCTGGGACTGTACCAAAGATATAACATCTAAGAAAAGGAGCAAGACGTAAGTCCCATAGATATGTTGAGAGTAAATTGACCTGAACCAATACAGCGTCCCTCCAAATAAGGTCCCAACAACAAAGAAATCACGTATGTAATGCCAGAGCTAATGTTGAAGAGAGAAGGTGCAGGGTATCTGCAGAAATCCCCTCATGATTTCTGTGAAGAGCCTCTGAGAGGAGATGTATGGAAGAAAGATACCATAGAAGGTTTGTTAGGGTAAGAAAAAGGTGAGAATATTGAGCATGGGTAAGAATAACATTAGGTTCGGGAGCCGCCCCCCAAATAGGTAACAATGAATCCATTAACTGCTGATCTAAAAATGGATAGTCAGCACAATAGTAAGAAAAGGCATACTGATCAAAAGTTCTTGGGGATTGTGGCATGCTGATCCCCTCAATTAATTGTGAGACAAATTGATTAACATATACCCCAATATCTGGGAAGGGAGAAATACCAAAAATGGTTGAGAAGAGGTTTCATATAAGAAAGAAGGGCAAGGTGAAAAAGAGAGAGGAAGGGGATAAAAATCACAAACCTGAGACACAAAATCTGTGAAGACATAATTAGGCCTAGATAAATCCTCAGGTCGCAAGTGGGAAGGAACAGCAAACTCTGGAGGTAGGAAAAGACGATCAAAATCCTCATCATTTTGAATAATATCTGCTGATTCAGGAAGAGCCTGGATGATATCAGTGGACAAAGATTGACCCATGTAGCATTCAATCTCCTGATGTATGAAAGCAGAAAGATTCACCATCAGGTCGCCCGCACCTGAGGCCTGAGAAACAACACTGGTCGGTGGTGTGATTCCCAAAGTGGACTTTGGAATTCATAACTCAAAATAATGTACACAAATGATTGAGTTTTAAAAAATATGTAGTGACAAAACGAAGTGGTTGCTATTAAATAAAAGTTAATTTAAAGAAAAAAAAACACTTTGGGCAAAAAAAAAAATTTTATTTTGTCATCATACGGGAGCACATAGCACAAAAAAGAAGATGCCTCAACTCATACACTAGCAAACGAAAAGTGAAGGTTCAGTAGAGGAGTATAGAGGGAGTCACATGCATCATGTGAGCATGTCATGCTACTATTGGTTAAGAAATGAAGCATAATGATAATTCCAACAAGGGGGGAGTGCAAGGCTTGTGGCATGCATAAAAAAACGTTTGCATATAGAGAGCAGCACTGAAGGAAAATTGCTAATCTTGTGAAAGGAGGTAAGTACCATATAGGAATTAACATTACAATTAAATATCAATATGCTTAACTGACACCTGCATATATAAATAGATTTAACTAACATTACTGAGTGCTAAGGTTTGGCTAAAATAAGTGAGTAAAAAATATATTTAACTAATACCAGTAAAATTACACATAGGTTTAACTGACATTATGATCAATAATTACTCAATTATGCTATGATACAGTATAGAATTGCAGAAGTATTTCTAAAATTAAACCCAACATTTAAGGGGGAAGAATGTAATCTTTCTTGGATAGAGTGAGCTCTTAACTTACAGTAGTTGCTCTAGCATGAGAAGCAAACACTCATATGAGTAATAAACACAAATAACTGAAATACAAGCAAACACAATATGAAGTACATACCATCTTTGTTTTCTTGAGATTTCCATCCTGTTAAATCTAAGGGCTCTTCTGAGTTTTCCTCCTCTCCTTTTTCTCCTTCTTCCTGCACTTTCTCTAAGTCTAGAAGTACATCATGAGAAATAAAAATTAATTGTACTTTAAATTACTCAAAGTTTTAAAAAATAATTTAACAACAAATTATACACAACATATACTGAGAAAGGTAAATAAAAGAAGTGACTACAATAGAACATGAACATCAATACAAAATGTTTTATAAAAAATATTGTATATATGATTAGGTGTTGGAATTATATAGGATGTAACATCTATAACTGCTCATGATTTTCTTTTTTTTTCATATGAGCTATGCCTGTGAAAAAAAGTTATTCACAGCTATTGATTTATGGAAATGTTATTAGTCAAATTCTGATGCAGAGTAAAGATTAAAGGATGAGCCCTCACAGTTGACTTTCTAAAAAGATGTGATGATCTTCTTCCATTGACAACAGTCTTAACTAGCACAATAACAACAATGAATGAGTAATCCCAAGAATTGTTTATTAACACAAAGATTAGTTACACAAAGCAATTCATAAACATAGGACAAGTAGCATTCACATGTTGAGCAGAAAATCCAATCAGGCACCAGTATATTAAATCCTATATGGTAATGGCTGCAGAAGCAATGGTAATGAAAACTCTTAACCTCTAGCTTCTGTGAATTGATGTCATTAGCATGATTCAGACTCTAATAAGGTGGAGTGCAAGGTGGTGTTTATGTGAAGAATAAAAATACTTTTGTCCATTCAACAGTTTGCATATTGAAACAGCAAAACCTATAGAGCCTCAAAAATGCATACCTACAGATTTTTCAGTATCCCTGTATATTGTATCTGATATTCCCTCTCCTTTACCACAAAATATCTAAATATCACTAAATAAACAATGTAAAACAAAATGAATAGTTCATAATTCTGACATCAAATACATAATATCATGCTGAATGATACTCTGTACGAGGTTATGGCATGTGACCTTCGATCCCCACCAGTGCACATAGGGTTAATGTAATTATTGTCCAGAAAATCAACAGTAAGGCTGACATATAGTAAGATGAAGAACTGGTTAACTTAAGTGGTTTAAAGTATAAGATGCCCCGGCTGAATAACAGTAAAACAGTAAGAATACCTTGTCAGGTAGTAGCTTCCGAGTTCACATACTGGCAATTACATACAAACAATAGGGTACCATTTGGCCCTTCAAGACTGTCCTTACATACCTAACCTTGAGAAAAGTAAAAATTTAAACCTTTCTTTTATTTTTCAGGAAATCATCAGTTCCCCTCTCTTAAACACTTGTAAAGTGCTGGCTTCCACTATTGCTGAAATATGAGTATTATGAAACAAAATAACAAGTTTTTATACAGCTAGAAAAACCTTCATGGCTATGCTAAATTTCAGTAAAATGAAAAATTATTAAGAAATCTGAGTTACATGAATAATCTATAGGTTTATTCTTACAAGAAAATAACAAGTATACAAAAAATATACATAGTGATAGATTAGTTAAATATTTATTCCTGTAAAAGTAAAACAAATCTTACAGCAGTTCAAATTTATCATATTTAGCCACTAGATAGTGAAAACTCTTTCATTTTCAAAAGTACATATTTATCAGAATTTTAAAAATTTTCTCATAACACACAAAGAAAAATTGTTCCTGTAAAAAATATTAATTATAATTTGTTTGTATGTAATATGTATTGTATTCAGTAGCACTGAAACGCTTATTTAAAAGTTCGAATATTTGCAAATAAAAGGGTTTGATTCAGTTTTTGAATAGACAGTTCCAGATTTCAAATCGATTCGAATACAAAACAAAGATGGCGGCAAACATGATAGCTGAGGTTCTGTCCAAACTGCGATCTCGCCGATCTGCAGTGTGGAAGCATTTTGGATTTAAATAAGAAAAAGAAGGAAAAACAAACACATCTATTACTGTATGTCGTCACTGTTTTGCCGAATTTAAGAGTCAACAACAAACGTGTTCGCACCTGAAGAAAAGAAACTCCTTAGACGTTTACAGCAATTATACCGGGGAATCACCTACTACTTCTAGAAGCTTTGAATCAAACCAAGCTTTATCATCAGAAACCCCAAGTAAGTCTACCATACCAAACAAGAGATTACCAGGGCAGTTGAGCCTTTTTGATGTCATAAACAATAGATATTCCAAACAAGCATGAGTCATAAACAAATCACCAAAGCTGTTGGCATATTCATTTCAAAGGATATGAGACCTTATTCAGTTGTTGAAAATGAAGGTTTTCAACATATGGTATCAGTTTTGGATCCTAAATTTGATGTTCCAAGCAGGACTCACTTTACAGAGAAAATAATCCCAATGCTGTATGATGATGCAGCAACATCTTGCCAGTTCCAATTTAGAAGTCAGTTAATCACAGATGTAAAAACTGCCATCTTAAATGATTTGAACCAAAGGTAAGTATAAAAAATTAATAATAATATATTTTATCAACAAAAACAATGATAAAATCAGATCATATAAAAATTAAACACTGAAGAATATAAATGCACATTTATGAATTTTATTCAGGATCAGAACTTTATAATGTCATATGTACAAATCAAATTCTATGAGAGAAAGTTACATGATTCAACAACATGCACATGTATTTGAAATTGTTACATCATACAAAAATATCACATAATTTAAAAAGCATTGTAATTTAATTTTTCAGGTACACAGACCAGGATATTCTGAACTTGTTGCTTGAAAGTGCATGTCTAAATCCAAGATTTAAGACCATGCCATACATAACAGACATGAAAAGAATTGAAGTTTTTAGTTCTCTGACATAGAAGGCTCTGGTCCTTAAGGAAAAACATATGAATCAAATCAAAACTGATCAACTAATGCATCTTATGTGAAGCAATCACAGCATCTTTTCTCTTAAAACAAAACTCTAAACATATACCCATATGCCTTATACTTTGTTTTTACCAAAATTAAAAGCTCTATATAGGGTTCACTGCCTTCCTCCAGTAACATCCAAACTCTTCCTGTATCATAAATTCTTTTTTCAAGATCCAAAACTCAGAGTGCATATAACTTTATAATTTTCAATATTAAATCACATCTTAGACCATTTACCAAACTAATTTAGCTTCTGAAACAGCAAGATGAAATTTCTTCATTATCTGCTTTAAACAGTGATCTTACTATCGAGAGTAAAACTGTAGTGTGAAAATCAGAAAAGTCCAAACTAAAGACACTTGATATAACCTGAAGGTATTTGTGATCAAATGCAGTATTTTCAACCATATCATACGTAAACTGCCTCAACTTTTCTTAAGTAAATAGCTCATTCTGTTTACTTAGGAATAGTTGAGGCCTGTTGCTCACACATCACTCCAACTTGTATTTATGCTTTATACCAACACTAAATACCTCTCAAGAAGAAGAGCAAGACAAGTATGGATAATTAGACACACATAATTTGAAAGCTCTAAAATCAATCAAAACATACTGGAGTATGCTGATTTAAGAAACTTTAGTATTGCAATAGTTTAACAGTAAACATAAAGTTAAACATTTCAAGAAGTACTCTTTTTATCTAACAAAAGATGTTCATAATGTTTGATAATTAAAAAATAGCATATAACTGTAGCCACATTAAGGTGGGGCTAATGATGACCATAAGCACATATCTAAAATTCCTGTTTGTAGATACACATTCTACAAAAATTAACTGGATATAACATTTAACAGAAACATGATATTGGACTCACAAGTTGATAAAGCTCTTCTATTACTTATACAGGTTCTATACGTTTTATATGTAGAGATTTACATAGCTGATTGCTATTTAATACAAGTTTCAATGACAATGAAACTACTTTTGCACAGTTTTTTGTTTGATACATATCAGTGTCACATTGAACTATATAAACAAGTGGTTGCCTAGTCCAGCATGTATGACACCAAAGTGAAGATTAATTAATGAAATAGCAATGTCAACAACTGAATGCGTTTAATGATTTATGGTGATCAAGAAAGTTATATGATTTTCTTTTTTAACACAACGTGCACAAACACGTAGATATATGTCTATGCAAATGTTAACATTATATAAAAAATTTCATACACTGTATGCACGACTGTAAGAATAATTTACTACCTTAAATATATCTCAAAACAATCAAAAATAAGATCTAAATTCTGAAAAATGTTTCACGTTTTTAACAAACCATGTGTGCACTGAATAGTTACAGAAGGGTGGTAATGAATAAGACTCTGCCCGTAGCTGACCTGACAGTTGCCACGGCAACGAAAAAACGTCAGTACGTCTCACAAGAAGTATATCAGAAGTGAACTGGTTGCCAGGGGCTAGATGTGAGCCAGCACAATGAACATGAGATGATGAAGCCTCTATGATGTACACCTACCTCTTTTATGGTCACCGCTGTGATGCATTCTCACTCTCAGCCTTGTCCTGGCCGTCTTGGGCCTGCGAACCGTACCCCACTCACCTTTGCTTTACAAGTTACCGTCAGACTCAACCCGACATTCAAGCAATACTGGTTTTCGACATACAATATATTGTGATTTATAGCTTGTAATTTATATTCCTTCAAATTAAAACAAAATAGAACTAATTATATGCGTTGTTTATTTTCTCACTTTTCTTGAACAAATAAAAGCACACCCGTTGATGTTCAAACACCCGATCTCCTACACTCTTTACTCCTCAGCTCCCAGGTCTTGTCGACTAGTACAACATACACGCACGCGCAAGCTAAATGTCGTCGCTTATGAACCCGACACTAAACCACCAAACTAGACACACACTGGCGGTACAGCACTTTACAAGCACGACTGAACTTTAAATGTATTTACTCAACTTCTTTCCTGATCTTTTTTTCTTTTTCTGGAAAGACTGATGGATGAATAATGAATATCAAAGAATTACGTAACTTTCCTAAATTAGTCTTTCAACATAGTAAACTTTACAAACATTAAACAAGGACATAGACAGTAATGTCAAAACTGAACCATACAGAGATTGTCACCGTAGAACCAGAGTATTTTCGAACAATTATGCACATATCCAATTTTCCCAAGCATTCAACCTATAAGTAAACGTTCCATAAGTTTACAAAATAGAAGCCCCCAATGTCTCAGCGACAAGTCTGAGTGTCCATATCACTAAAAACTGGGTTTCGATACTCGCTGTGGGCACAACATAGATAGTCCATTGTGCAGCTTTGAGCTTAACAACAAATGAACAACATCTGTCTCAGTTATATGTTTTTGTGTCATGATAACAGATTGCGTTATATAAAACACTGTCTTCACGAACAAAACTTTATCCACTCACATTTTAACCTATCTATGTATATAAGTTTTCTTGTCACCTATTATTAGGCTAGTAACTGCATACACACTAGTTTCCAATACAATTTTATTCTAACTACTTCCTAGTTGTCAGTAAAAGATACATCTTGATTAATTCAGGGCTGTCACTACCAGCTAAAATCTGAATATTTCCTAACTATCACTAATATTTTAACTTACTACTTCCAAGCTAATAGTTTTAACCTAACATCTTCCATTGAACTTTGAAGTTCTAAGCTGTACTACTAACAGATACATCTTAATTTGTTCAAATATATCGCCTTTAGTTTAACCTATTTTCTAATGAACAGAAAGATATCATCTGACTATTTCTAAGTTATGGTTAGCAATTATATTCGCAGAACTTCCGAGCTACCATTAGTAGATATATATCCTGACTACTTCTGAGCTATCACCAACAGTTGCGTCCTGTTTTCGAGTCATCCTTAAAATAATGCATCGCCTACGACATTTACTGTCACTAATAATGAGAAAAACACAAGTTCTCAATATTCATGGTCCCCCGATGAGACAACGGTAAGTTTAAGGATTTACTGTAAAACAAACTGTTGTGTATCTGCTCGTTTGTTAATTTCCGGTATAAATTATTTCCGAGGAACTTCAGCGATACAAGTCCTTTCTGAACTAAAACTAATTTATTCTTTCTCGATACAACTTTGTAATACACAGAATTTCCGCCGTCACTTTAAACTTTTAAACTACTTTTATAAACACAGGCTATAAATCACAGTGATTCACACACTTTACTTACGGTGCCTACTGTTTGCTTGACTCAATTATCTCTCTCTATCTATCTCTGTAATTCTATCTTTTCCCGCTGGCTTCATTTGCCAGGCTTATATACTTAAAAAAAAGAGGGCGTCTAGCAAACACTGGGATATTCGTGAGGTTCCCCGATAATTCTAGAAACTCCGGCGCGCATGCTCCTAGAATCACGCGACTTCCGCTGTCGTAACAAAACAAATAATATTCATGTAATCTCATGTTGTGACTGTGTATCGTTTGTGTTTTGTCATTTAAGTTTAACCTAATGTTTGAAATAAACTAAGGTATGACGACCTGTCTGATATTTTGTCCATGTTTTTTAAATGGTGACCATAAGTAAAAATAAAACAAACAACATTCAAATGATTATATCTTTAAAGTATTTGTGCTAGGGAAAGTGCATTTCATTAGAGTTTTATCCAGAAAAAATTAAATATGATATAGATTGTTTCAAAAGCTGTCTCAGAAAGTATTCAACATGTTCTATCTTATTCTCATTAAGTATATTAAGCCCATCCTTACAAGCTACTGTAAAAATCACATGTTCTACAGATGGTTCAGTACGTTATATTAAAAGCATTTTGAATATGCAGACCAACAAATCACGTTAAGCCACATAAAGTCGCGGTGAAACTGAATAAATCAGAACTACATTTTGACATTGTTTAGCATTTCGCATATTGTGTGATGTTACAAAAAATTTGTGGGTTCGGATTTGGGATTTAGTTTTTCCAAAAATAGGTTATCCTTTGAACTTAATAACATTGGAAAACAAAGGAACAAGAATTAATTTATAGTACCAAGGTCGTGCAAAAATAGACTTGCAATAAATCATACCCCAGCAGTGTAAAGCAAAGTGTGTCTTTTTTTAACAGGTTAGAATTTACGAACACAAAAATAAATGATAAAATACATCGACATAACCCAGGCAACAGTACACAACCTGAAAAAGCAACATAAATCATACCTATACGAATTACTTCAACAACTTATTCATGCAACTGTCACATACCTCAAGCAGCTGGAGAATGAAATGAGTATATATACTTTATCCCACACAAAGACATATTGGTCAAATTGCCGGATGCAGTGCCTATGGATCTCTATGCGATTGGACAGTTGAAATGGGCTCTGGGAAACTGTTGTACTCCTACATGAGATTTATTATGGAAAGCTTGCAGGGATGAGAGACATGACAACCTTACGACGGATCCTTTTGCAATGGAAACTACACAGGTTATTGTCAAGATGGACGGTCGTCAGATAGAGCACGACTGGAGGTGTTGACATGGGCTGTAACAACGTAGTAAAGCTTCAAAATCGTTTTAATAAAAAAGTATTCAATTTCTGCAGAAGTGTTCATTGATCCTCGCAATATACTGCACAATGGCACATGTTTTATTCAAATAGCCAATCAGGCGTAGTCTATTGGTTTGCATACCTGGACTGCAAATCCAAGGATTCATGGTTCGCATCCACTTCCCCAAAACGCGCTCCGCACTCTGGATCCGTGGGTGCTCTATAAGAGTGCTGGTCTAATCCTTCTACTCAGCCAGATAGGAGCAGCCCAATACACAGTTGGTGGTGAGTGCTGTTGACTTGTCGCCTTTCTTCTAGTCCATCACTTCAAAATTATATATAGTTATTGTTACGTATTATAATTTATCCCGGAAGAGTCTCCAATTTATTACTTAATGTATTATACTTTCGAATAGTCTGAAACTGAGTTAAATGATAATTTAGATTTAGAAATTAAGTAAATGTCGATATACGTCCAATTTATGGCACTTGCCAACAAGATTGATACACACAGTTTTTTTTAATACAAACAATAACACAATTTATAATAATGGTTATTACAAACAACGATCCACGTACAAAAGTTTTATAAATTTACAAACAGTATTGAGTCCACTACCTGGTCTGGAACTTCCTTGATAGCTTATCGAGGGTTCACGATGAACGAATTAATTCTGAGTTGATGTAGATACAATTCACTTAACAGGGAGCTAGCTAGCTCTGTTCTTCGTTCTTCGCCGGCCACACACACCGAGTTATCCACTGATGAAGTTATATAATGTTTTCGTAAAAATACTGATGTTAGATGTGAATCCGTGAAGTTAAATGGTTTGTAATATTTGAAATCTATAAGTGTTCCTGGTCAAATATCTGAAGTTCCCGATTAATAAGCGTTATAACAATCACAGTTATAGCTTGCGAAGTTTATAGTACATCAATTATAGCAAACCAATAATATATACTGTCTTTTGGCGCGTCGCATTGGTTATATTTATAGCCATGAGGAGAGTTTCTCGAAATTTCAACTTATGCAACAATATAATTGCTACACTAGTGTTTACGTACAAATATATATTGTTGATTCTTACATTCGAGAATTTTCTACAATTTTAGTAAATAGGCGGGAATTTCGCAATACAAATTTAACAGTATAAGTTATGTACATTTCTAAAAATACATTTAACTTAAACAAACATCAATATTAAAATAGATATATGACAATAAATTCGTCACACTATCCACATTTAGCTAATCTCGTAATTTTGAAAGCGAGATAAATAAAACCAATTCAGTATAGCATGGTTTTCAAGTATCCTCTACCACTCCCAAAACTTTTCTGGATAAAACTCTTAATGCGCACCTACTTATTGTTAAACGATAATAACTGTCAAATCGTACTGTTTACCCAAACCAACTGGTCATTAAAGTAATAAAATTTTCTCTATAAACGTGGAACGTTTGCGAGAGGGGAGGGGCTAGTCTTCTACCCTTTTATGAGGATCAGTCCTCAAATTCCAATTGGGATGACATATCCAGATCACATGCATAGGGTTATTAATTTTCTACCAGTTTCCTCATATATTATACAAGCTTATGTGTTATATTCCAAGATAAATATGGCCAACAATAAGGGAGACTCTTAGAAAACTCGTGTGGTGTGTAAATAAGTCTAACTCAGTCAAAACTTCAAAACTGCGAGGAGTTGTTTCACTTGGAAACAACAAATGTACTTTTTTAAAAATACAACAAAAAGTGATTTGGCTAAGTGTTAATAGCCATATCACGTTCAAGTCTGCCAGAATCCTTCAAAGTCCACATTCCTCATGTCAGAAGATCAGTCTCCTTATCTAAAAAAGAGGGAAGGCAGAGCTTCTTGCTTGACTATTTCTGCATATGTTCAGCATTGTAAGACATCATAAAAAGTAATTAATGTATGAAGTGTAGTGGCCAAATATATAGGCAGTCATACTTGCATTAGTCTTCTTCATGAGTGAGGTAAGATCAATAGAAGTTCGCAGCTGGGAACATCATATTCACATCATGGCTGACCACCAACACCTGGGTCGCAGTTCATGTTGTCACATTATGCCCCAATCATGAGCACAAATGTACACCTGGTAAACTTCTACACACTCACCAAATCCAAAGGTGATCTTGTTTGTAAGGTTAGGCTTTATACATACAAGAAAA